TCTCGATCTCTTTCCGATTTCGACCTACGCTAATGCTTGTATGTCTGACTCTTTTCCTCTACCACCGTTTAAACCTCATTGTTCCACCGCCAAGTTTCTTTATCGATTCTTCTTCTTCCTGGCGTCGTATGACCCAGCAAATTCCTTGCTACCTGCGTTACGCTTTAAGGTTGACCATAATTGTTCGGATACTCGCATAAGGCCGGTAGAGTATTTACCATATCTTCTTTGGCCAGAGAGGTCTCTTTCAATTTCCACTCCTTAATTCGTGCTTTGCTGTTAGTCATGGGTTTTCTTTGTCGTTCGACCGAAATTTAGGTCTAGAAGCAGTGGTTTATGTTGAGGTTTGCAGCACATTGCAATCCTTTACGTTCTTTAAGTTATCGTAACGCACCCAGTAGTCAAATTGTGTTCGATGGCCTCCACTTGAATACGTAATCAGGTGTTCATGCTTTTTTGTGTAGTACGTGTTGACTAATGCTAGGTTGTACGCTGTGGTGAACCTCAGAACGCGTTTGTCTTCTTCATTGCATGTGCTGCTAGTTCCCGTGACACTTTTCCACACCATTTCTTTTCTCCCCACATGACCATTTAGGTCTGCTCCAAGAAGGAGTATCTCAGCCTGTGGTATGAATGTGATGTAGTCATCAAGCTCTGTCAGAACAAGTTCCTTTTATTCCTCCTTGTAATCGATTTGCGGAGCGTAGGCGGTGGCAAGTCGTAGGATTTTTCTACCAGTGTCAATATTTATGCTCTTAAATCGATACTTAATCGGCCAACTGCGGCAATCCTGCTTCTAAGCTTTCTGAGATAGCTATATCTACTCCACTGCAATTGCTGTTTGTGCCATTGTAGAAGAGCCCATAGCCATCTCCAATATTGCGTGATTTTCCATCTTTCCATCTTGTTTCCTGCATGCAAGCTATATCCATTCTCTTTCTTCTAAGGAGATCTCGCCGTGGGGGTTCCGCTTTGATGATAGTTAATTGGAGTGCTTCTGAGTTTTCGGATAGTTGCCTTGCATTCTTACCCGTCTCCGCCCTTTGTAAGAGGTGGCCCTAGCCCGTTAATCGCACCCTCGGGCTCGAGTGCGCGTCGCTTTCGGGGACGCCCTAGCTTTTACTCGATATACTTTATTGAATTTTTAAACCCATTTTTGATAAGACGTGCTCAGACGGCATGTAGCGCACCCTAAGAGTAAAACTGACGCTGGAATCGCAGGGAATTATGTCCCAGTGAGGGATCGAACTCGCGACCTCATTGAGATGAATAGGAAACGTCACCAACCACTCAGCTAACTCTGCTTTATGTGTTAATATGATATAAGATCTTGAAAACTTGCTTGTTTGGACTAATTGTGTTGCCGAATTCGAA